TTCTTTAGCAACAAGGCTAATAATATGGAAATATGTTTTGAATGACTGCACATGTATAATCTATATCAATTGCTTGCCATCTCACCAAGGTGGGAAAAGAGGGAGGGAAAGAGAGAATTTGAAACTCAAAATTTAAAAATACTAAATGTTAAAAACTATAACATGTAATATATATATATATATTTTTTTCACTTAAAATTTTTTGAAAAACTTTTCATACCCTGCCCCCTTTTTACCTTCACTCCTTTCTACATACTCAACAATCCAGATACACTGGACTACTTGTTTTTTCTCGTACACAACTCTAACTCTTGACCCTGTGCTTTTGCACTGGCAGTCTCCCAGTACCTGCAGTGCTCTCCTTCCTCATCCCATCTCTTAATTTTCCTGGCTTCCTTCAAGTATCATCTCCAATCCCACCTTCTGTAGGAAGCCTTTCCCAGGCCCTCTAACTGCTAATGCCTTTCCCCGCTGATTACCTTCCATCAACTTTATTTATTTTGTATGTATGTGTTGTTTATATAGTGTCTTCTCCATTAGAATGTAGTCTCTTGAGGATTGGGGCTGGTTTTGCCTTTCTTTGTAACCCCAGTGTTTAGTCTGGCTCATTGCAAAGACTTAATAAATGTTTGTTGACAAATATTGACTGACCTCAGGACTCGATAGGACCTTACACAATCTATAGGGAGGAAAAGTTGGTGATATGTTGGGGGTTGGGGGAGGTTAGGTATCATAGAAATGGATAGATAGACAAATAAACCAAATGGAATCAAAGCAGCAGAAAACCCCTCCTAGGGTTTCTGCTGCCATTACGGTAGTATCATAATTATTGATGATGCTGTTGCTTTGTTGATTCAAGTGTCTGTCTAGTAGAGAGATGCTCCAGAGCTCTCCTACTGCCATTTTATGATGAAAATTTCAGTGGGTGGGGATAGGGGGAAGAATGAGAAGTGAGTGGTAAACAAGGCAAAGGGAAGAAATGAGACATGGAAATACATTAAGTAAATGCCACAGGAATGTGGAGTCCTAATGTATAGGGGGGAAATAACCTACCATGTCTTTTCTTCAATTTATGGTCTGCCTTGACCCCCCAGATCTTTCTCTCCAAACTTTTCTAGAAGCATGGATGGAAGGGGTTATCAAACTCAAACTCTAAAATGACAATCAGCAGCATTTCTACAACCTGGAGTTTTAAATGGAGGATTCTTATATAGAGTATGTGATGGTGGTGGCGGTGGCAGCAGCAGCAGCGGGTGGTGGTGGTGGTGGGGATGGAGTGGAGGCGGGGGGGGGATGCTGTGGTGGGAAATAAAATGCTAATTGTGAACCAGCCAGAGCTGTTCTTTATTTATTTGTCAAAGCAAGAAACAGAATTGCATTCTTAAGTGAAGATGATGCAATGATCAATCACAGCCGGCCTGTGCTCCGGGGGAGAAAGACTGGCCCTGTTCTCTGGGTTTGTTTACTTCCCATGGGCATTGTTTTCTTGCTTGTGTCAGATAGCTTATTGAGCACAGCTAATCAATGTTTCCGCTGACAAGAAAATTGGAACCGTTATTCAGGAAGCATCATTCGTTCAAAGGCAGATTTCCCAGTTAAGTACTGTTTGGTGCTGGGACCCATCCCTTTAAAGTAGCCATGTGAAAATGGCCAGAAACTACCTGGAATGCAACAGGTCATGGAAACTATGCCCATCTCGACATGGCAGGTGCTAGGAACAAATCTTTCCATATGATTTCAGGCTCCTCTCCCTCAGATTCTGGAACTGTTGGGGAAAGAAAAAATGCAGAACTCTGACTTTTAGGGATATCTTTTGAGGCACTATGGCGAAATCTACCCCTGGAATGTTAAAACTTTGAAAAAAGTTTTGTCTTTCAAGTTTGGGCCACCTCAGGTCTTGAATAAATAGTGATAGAAACAAGACCTGCAGTTTTATTGGTGTAGGAAGCCCCCAGGCAAGGAAACCTCCTTCCCAGTTCAGGTCAGCACCTTCTCTGAAATTTAAAATTACTGGAGAGCTGCCTAGGGCACTGAGAAGTCAAATGACTTACCCAGTTTCACACAGCCAGTGTGTTTTATAGGTATGATTTGAATCCAGGTCTTCCTGGCTTCAAGGTAAGTTTTCTACCCATAACTATGTGACCTCTCTAGGACAATTAAATTGGTGACGTGAAAGGCACATACCATAATAAAGCAGAAAAATTACAGGGAAAATTCAGCATAAGTATCAACCCCATCATCCCAGGAGAGAATTAAAATTGTCCTTACCTGATGAGAAATATCACAAGGGATAGATCAACTTGCCCTTGGTAATATCCCTGAAAGGATGATATACATTGTACCTCAAAGCACTGGTATTGAAAGAGACCTTATGTATATTCTGTCACACATTGGAGACATTTAAAATATTAATACTCACAAATCCCCCTATACTCCCTGCCTCTCTCTTCTTGTCAGGCTCCCCCTCTTCCTGTCTCCATATTTTTTTCAAGTATTTGCCAGTCTGGCCATCCAAACAATACAATAATAGAATGTCAAGACGACCTAGACCTTCCATCCACTGGGCCCAGGTCAGTTTGGACCTTCTATCCAACTGAACCTGGTCATTTAAAAAGTTAAGTCCACATTGGACCAGAAGAATAATTTCCCCCTCTATCATTCCAACCCAAATAGTTATTGCCACATAATGGAAACCTGGAACTTTTTCTTCCATGTCATGCAGTAAAATACACCCTCAGGAGGCTGGGGGAAGAATCATTGAAAGAAAAAAAAAAGATTTATGGTTCAAAATGGGAAAGGGAAGGAAAAAAAAATCCTTCATTTAAAACTCCAGGTTGTAGAAATACTGTTGATTGTCATTTTAGAGTTTGAGTTTGATGACCCCTTCCATCCATGCCTCTAGAAAAGTTGGGAGAGAAAGCTCTGGGGGTCAAGGCAGACCATAAATTGAAGAAAAGACACGGTAGGTTATATTTTCCTCCTATGCATTGGGACTCCACATTCCCATGGCATTTATTTAATGTATTTCCATATCTCATTTCTTCCCTTCGCCTTGTTTACCACTTCTCATCCTTGGACTGAAATAGTGTCAATTCCTCCTTGAAGGAAACAAAGTTTGACCTTATCATCTCTTTCCCAAATTGCTCAGCAGAATTCCAAAGGAGATGCAAAGAGCCCTTATCAAAGGTCCAGCACCATTTCCAGAAAAAGTTGAAACTCAGGTTTGGACAGGAGAAATAGCTGCCCCCTCTTACAAGCACAGTCCCTTCAGGGGCCCAGGGTGAGGGCACCGACTAATACTGTTGCTCTCTGTGACCTCAGGCAAGTGTCTGTCTCTGGGACCCAGTTTCCTCACATGGACAATAAGAATATTGGAGTAGATAATCTCTAAAGACCCTTCCAGCCCTAGATTGAGATCATGATAAAATGACCCATCAGGGACCCTAGATGCAATCCCTTCCTTTTTCACTGAGAACAAGGATCTCAGCCCTTGGATTCCTATTCCTGTGACTTATGTTCCATGACACAGAGGCAAATTATCAATGTACTCACTAGGAATAAAATGTTCCCAGTTGGCCAAGGCACTCAGATGAACAAATCCCTATAGTTATAGAGGTCTTCAAATTCCAGGCATGGTCACCTGAAAAAAAAAAAACAGCACAGTGGCAACAGTTTAAAAAGCAGTAATGTCCTTAGGTATAGGGAGAGGATTGTCCTTCTGAGAGATGGTATCTAGTTAATTCAGGAATCAACAACAATACAGTTGTGTTCAGCCATCATTTGTTAAGCACTGAGAATCTCTGGCTTCCTTCAGAGATTCATTAGAGGGCTATTGCCTATCTCCTAGAGGAGGCACTTCACAGGGGCAAGAAATGGAGGGTTGATTTCAGGGAACAAAGCCGTTAAGCAAGAACATAAAGTATGTGGAAGAAAAGAATGGGAAATTAGACAACAAAGGTAGGCTGGGGCATGGCTGTAGGGGGCTTTAAGGGCCAGGTCAAGTTGTTGTTTTTCTTGCTGCTGCTCCATGGTAAAGTAGACAAAGTGCTGGACCTGGAGTCAGGGAAGACTCATCTTCCTGTGTTCAAATCTGGCATCCAACTCTTACTAGCTGTGTGACCTTGGGCAAGAGTCTTAACCCTGTTTGCCTCAGTTTCCTCATCTGGAAAATGAGCCAGAGAAGGAAATGGCAAAGAACTACAGTATCTTTGCCAAAAAATCCCCCAAATGGGGTCATGAAGAGTCAAAGATGACTGAAAAACAATAACAAAAGTTTTTGAATGAAGATAGTGTCCTTGTGAGTGGAGAGAAGAGGATGGATGTAAGTGCTGGTATGAAGGTTGAATCGACAAGACTTGGCAATTGATTAGATTGGGGGTGGGGAACAATAGGGAAAAGTCACCGACTACTGAAGTTGCAAACTTGAGTGAGTAGGGGTTTAGTGGAATCCTCAACAGGAAAAGAGGACGTGTAAGGAAGGGGTGGAACTTGAGGAAAGCTTTGTTTTGAGTATAGTGATGTTGAAATACCTCTGGGACATGGAAGTGGCAATGTGAGCCTGAAACTCAGGAGAGAAATCAGAATTAGATATATAGATTTGGGACTCATCTGCCTAAGGATGAGTGAACTCATGGAGTTGATGAAGTCACCAAGAGAGAAGAGAAAGAGAAGAGAAGGGAACTCAGGACAAAACTGGAAGATGAATGCCTGTACGTCGGGGGCTAGAGATGGTGACAGTCTAGCAAAGAAAACTGAGAAGGAAGGTAAGCCAAGTAAGAAGAGAGCCAGAAAAAAAGCAGCGTAACAGAGAAAGGAACAGGATATCCAAAAGGAGAGGGGTGGTCAACAGCATCGAAATCTTCAGAGAAGTGCTCAGAAGAATGAGGAAAGAGAACGGGTCCATACTTTTACATTTTTTAAACAAGGGTTAACCCTTTAAATGGTCATTTGCAAAACCCCATATCATCTCAGCAGCCTCCTAATTTGTTTCTTTCTTACAGGAACTCTCCAATTTGGGTCTGGGCAAAGATGTGGTGGTTCAGATTCTGCAACTGCACGTGGCTTACAAGAAAACAAAGGAGCAAGTCTCCAAAATTTGGGAAACCCTTCAACCCCAAGTAAATCATTGTTTTTTCTATGTCACAGCTAATTTTCCACCCTAACGTAAAATGAGGTGGCAGTATGTTGAAACCTTGATGTAGAATGGAACCATTTGAAGAAAATAGAAGCTCCTTAAGGACATGGACTGTTTCGTCTCTGTTTTTCTATCCCTAGCAGCTAGCATAATACTTGGCACATAGTAAGTGCTCCATAAATGCTTATGGAATTTAATTTTTAGAACACTGTTAGCTATATTGTGGAATTTGGTATGTGTGGGGCAGGAGTAGGGGCTATCTTAGGCTGATCACCATATGTAAAGTTCAGAAAGATCTAAGGCAGCCCAACCTACTATATTACAGTGTGACACCATGAACTCGCCAAATGGTAGTATTATAATGATCCTCTAGTGTATAACTTTTAAGTATAAGCTGAAATACTTACGTGAAAAATTTATTCAGGAATATTTTTATATCAGAGCAAGAAGGGGAAAAAGAAGAAAAAGGATGGGATAATCAAAGTATGTCCCGTCTAGCACCCAAGAAAAATGGCATCCTGTTTGAGTCCAGATGACAATCTAATATGTTCAAGAGGAATACTCATATAAGGAAAGCTATCGAGCTGGCTTTGGGGTCAGGACTGGCTGAGTTACAGCCTCTGACACATACTAGCTGTGTGATCACGGATAACTTTTTTTTACCCCCTCAATTCCCTCAGCAACTCAGTATACAAAATTACAGATAATTTGCTAGTCTGCATCAGTGAATGTATTTCCCCTCGTAGATGAAATCATAGGAATAAGTCATCACCTTCCCTTCAAAAAGGAAAAAAAATGTGACTTAAAACATGAGGCAAAACAATATTTTTATTCTTGTGAATATCACCATTATAAGCCAAATTTGCATCTAAAGCAAGAAGATAAAATGATTGTTCCCCCATGCTAATAGCATGGCCTTCTTTATATATTTTTCTATTCTCCTAATAACTGAACACCCAAGGCAAGTGCATCACTTGCCTTACTTCACACTGTCATAGTTCTGCTTGTGAACAGTTAGGTTCTCTTAGAATACAATTCATCAAATATCAAGATGGTGATCTACAAGATTGGGGCAAGAGATGAGAAGGCTGTCATCAACTGGGGCTGAAATTAGTATGTATGTGTGGGTTAGGGAGTTGTCCCTCCTTCATTTGTGCTCACTGAGTTTCGTAACCTCTAGATGTAATTATTTGGAAAGTTAGTATGAAAAAAAGCGAAATGAGGAGCAAGAAATTATTGTTTTTTTTAAAAAAAACCCTAAAACATTAAGGGAAAAAAACACATATACAGATACTTTTAAAGACATGACAACTATTTTTCAAGGAGGAGAAATAATCAACTCATAAATTCTCAACAAGATTTTATTGGGTTTTCACTAACTTCTATAAATAAAACTTCATTAAAAAAAAAAAGACTTAAGACTCCACAGAAATGCTAAGCTTTTCCTGTGGTAGTCTACCAAGGGATTTATTCTCAAATGCTACCATTTAAGAAAATCTTGAAATATGAATGGCTTTTAAAATTAAAGCCCAGAATTTGAGCAATTACTTATTTAGTTAAAAAAACAACAACAGAATGAGGTCATTGTGTTTTATGTTTGTAGTGAGCATGGCGATGAGGGAAGTACAATACACCATCATACAACCTATGGATTTTAAAATAAAACTAAAGCTTCCTGTCAGTATGTGTGGCTGAGGTGTTCTGTACCTTTGATCTTGGATCTCACACCTACAAGTGTGGAAGTCCTGCAATATTTTGTAAATACATCCGACCTTTAATTTCTTATCATTGACTCTCTTTTCTTCCCACTCCTCCTGCCTAAGCAGTTCACTGTCCATGTTGGAGTTGCTTCATCTTCCAAAGCAATCATCCTAGAACAGTGTGGAAGAAACCGAGGTTATAAAGATGCAGATATTTGTGGCTTTTCACCGGAAGGTGGTGTTTGCCTGTCAGATGGCCCAGATGTGATTGAATCTACTATCAGCATGAAAGCAGTTTGCAAAAACATCTCTGTCAATGGAATCCAGGTTCTCTTTTCCAGAGATGCAGGAAGGTAAATCCTTTGTAGATCATTCCCTGATCAGATAGGGGATCAGTGAAGAAAACTCTGAATTTCTCCTTTACTCATCTGTCAAGGATTTATTTTTTCCATTCTATAGAGAAGAATAGGATAGGAGCTGGACAGGTATACTTTTTTGGACGTAGGAAAATCTCTGTTAAAGAAGCTTCTTCCTCCAATACGGATCCAGCACCTTCTCTGCAATGTATAGTCTTAGAGAACTCTATCCCATCTAAAAATTTAAAAATGAACTGAACAACCACATTCTCCCACTTTCAGAGCTCTATGCTCAATGTTGCTAGTTAGTATTGGTTAGTGCAATAATATTTCAAATCAGTTAAAGTGATCATAAAAATGGAAGAGAGACTCTACAGTACTGAGGGCAGTAATAATAAAAATAATAGTTAACATTTATATGTCAGACATTGGGAATAGAGATCAGACTTGGAATCAAAGACCTCAGTTCAAATCCTGCCTTTGACTCTCATACTGGCTGTGTGACCCTGGACAAATCATTTAATCTCAAAGTGCTTCAGGCAATGATCTAAGACCATAGAAGTTTTTTTAGTTTTTGTTTTTGCTGGAAAAAAAAAAAAGCTTCTGTTCACAAATTTGGTCCAAAAACCCCCCCAAAACCAAAAAACTTTTACAAGGAGCTTTAAGCTTTGTAAAATATACTACAAACATTGTCTCTCTTTTTTGAATTACTCAACAGTCAGTCAATAAGCATTTATTAAGTAAATCCTCACTATGTGCCAATCACTATGGAAAATCACTGGGCGTACAGAAAATGGCAAAAGCCAGTGTCATTGCCTACTAAGAGTTTATGTTATAGTGGGGGTGACAACATGTAAACCACTAGGTAGATACAAGATACATACTAAGTAGATGGAGAGGAATGAGGGAGGAAGGACCAGTTTGTTACAGATAGACCTTAGGGAGTGGTGAGTACATCTACAGCTGTGGGTTCAGAATCACAGAGATGGGGTGAAAATAAAGGGATGAGAGGATGTTAACCAATAAGGAGAAAGTCCAGGAAGAGTATTAATGATTGAAGAGAGGTCCATTGAGGGAGGCAGGAGATCTAGACTGCAAAGATCTTCCCTAGAAGTTCGACCTGGTTGTAGATGGTGATGCTTTGCCCTATCTCAGAGCAGTCAGGAAGGAGTAGGAAGAGATATAGGAGTTTGGTCAAGAGGTGAAGGTGTCTTATTTTCCCTAGAGAAGCCCCTGGGGGCAGGAAATGGAATAGAGATGGTCTTGGGGAAGGTCTTACTAAAGAAGGAGGTGGGCAATGAACCCCTGTGTGCTGTGCTTTAGAAAAGGCCCTGACTTGAACCCAGAGGGCACATGGGTTATTTGAGCCTTACAACAATTCTATGAGGTAGGAGTTATCATTAGATTCCTTTTAGGAAAGGCTAAAGTGACTTGCCCAGGGTCACACTGCTGGTGAGTATTAGAAAAAGGATTTGAACCTAGGTCTTCCTGATTCCAAAACCAGTGCTTTTCCTATTATACTAATGTATTACCAGTTTTTTCATTGTACTTCTGACATGATTAAGCAAGGAAGGATTGGTGAACATTTTGTTGGCATGTTATGAGCCCTAAAGACTTTCATTTTGTTTATTATCTTTAACTTGTCATCAAGAAGGTGGGTAAAACATTATATCAATAAATCCTATACTGTTAGAGGAGAAAGGGACCTTATAGACCAAATTGTGCCACTCCCTCATTATTAGGAGCAATATTCTAAGGCCACGTAGGCTAGATAAGTTTTTCCTTAAAAGGTATTGAAACCATCATCAAGACTTAATTGGCTCAGGAAACTAATGGCTCCAGCTGTTGACTTAGCTTCCTGGTAGTAAAGCAACAAGGAATCAATAACTTTTCCCTCAGGCTGATAAGAAAACTAAGACCCAGAAAAATGTTGTCAGATCTTTAGACAAGTATGAGCAGGTACATTGGGATGCTCACTGAACTGTCAGAAAACCTGGGACCTCCTGTCACCACCACCGTCTTCTATGTGGCTGACACCATGGGCAAAGCCGCTTAAGTTCATGAGATGAGTTTGTTTTGAATCTAGGAACTGGAAAAGAAATTTACTATTTAACCTACATTCACTTGTTTCAAATGGCAAATTTTTTGTCCTTTCTGTTTAGTTGTTTTCTCACGTGCACACCCAAAGAATTGAGAGGAAGACAAGCAGGATTTAGAGCTACACTGCGGCCCATCTAAAACCTACCCTCACAAGCCTGGGATTCTCCCCTCAGTGCGACAGATTTCTTCATTTGCTATACCTACACTAGGGAGCTTTAGAAGGTCTATGAGGACAAAAAAACCCAAAGGAGTTTGCCCACTTTCCCTTCCTGAGGAAGCTGATTTTGGGGATAGGGGCTGGTAGGAGATTAGGGAAGGGGAACTGAGCCTCCTCATCTAATACCAAAGCAGAGTAGACTAGGGTAGGTCAAGGGCTCTGCAAGAGATCAAGCCCAACCCAAACTGAAACCAAATGAGACACTAGGAAAACATCTGAAAATTTAAAAAAAAAGTTTCTTGAGGCATAGTAGGGAAAGGAAAGGGAGCAAGGATACAACACTAATTCATTTAGGTAAAGCTTCCCAGTTTCTGTGTTGTCCATGGAGGACCTACCTCGAACCTTGAGGGAGGAGCTGTTCCTTGGCCACCAGAAAACTAAGTCAACAGCTAGAGCCACTACAGCCAATTAAGACTTGATGATGATTTCAATATCGTTTAAGGAAAAGCTACCCTGACCTCCATGGGATACTTAGAATATCGCTTCTAGCCCCCAAGCTCCTATGGAGCTGCTATGGACTTGGGAGTACAGGGCAAGGAAGAAGCTAGAACAAGGGAGAATTAGTATCTCTGTATAGCAGGGTATGGTTTGTATTGGCCTTTGGAGGAAAAACCAGCTTGCCATCTCTCCCTCTGCAGACCTTCCCTCTCCCTTTCCCTCCCACACACACACAAGCACACACTCCCTTCCCTTCCTTTCCCTGTCCCTCTTCACTCCAGTACACACTTCCTTCCTCTCTCCCTGTCTCTCCTCTAGTCCCAGTGGCCATGAGAGCCCAAAGCAGCTAGGGAAAAACAATGATGTCAGCTAGGGGCAGAAAGAAGCAGGAGAGCCAGAGTCCAGTAAGCACCCAATCATCCATGACTTAATATAAATTCTCATATCAGTGCATTCTCATTTTTATTATTTAACAAAAACAACTTTTGAAGATACTGGGTATCGGGATGAAATTTCTAGGCTCCATTGTTTCCTGATAACTTTTCCATCTAGAACAGGGGTGTCTAGTCAGACACTATTCTGTGAGGTTGAGATTCAGTCAAAGGGCCGCACTTGAAGATCTAGAGGACCATATGTGGGCTCAAGGCCAAAGGTTCCCCACCCTTCATCTAGAACATCTGTGAACTTCAGATCTTTCATGTATAAAATGGAGAAAGCATCCCATGCCCTGGCTACCTTACAGGATTGTTATAAGAATTAAATGAAATAAGTGGAAAAACTAAATGAACAAACAGAACACATGTTAATGTAAGGTACTATTAACCATGAGTATGAACTCATTTGCCATTTTAATTGGACAAGTCACTTCACCTCTTGGGTCTTGGGGTCCTCTTCCATGAAATGATCTCTCAGGTTCCATCTGCTCTAATACTCTGCCATTCAAGTTGTTCTATGGATCTACTGAACCTAGAAAATGGCAGAACACAACGAGGTCAGTAAGGCTCTATTCTCTTGGTATCAGATAAATATACCTCTCTTGGTACCCCTAGGAGTCAACTCCTACCTGTTCCCTTCACCGCTGTCACTAGAAGCCCATTTTAGAGACTGTTACACAAGATCCTTTAGTTCACCCCATTGTGGGTGGGTTCCCCTCTCCTCCCACCCCAACCTTGGACCAAAATTTGTGTTTCCTGAAAACAATTTTTAAGGGAGGTTCCCACAAACTCTTTTCATTTACAGCTTGATTTCCAGATAAACAACCTCTTCCCTAGCTGATGCTCATGACAATTGAGATTAGTTTTATTCTTACCATGACATTTCTGTGTGGTTACAGATATGTCTGCGATTATACCTACTATTTGTCTCTGCATTATGGAAATGGCTGTGCTGCTTTCATTCACGTCCCTCCATTATCCAATTTGCTAACAGCCGACCTTCTAGGAAGAGCATTGCAAATCATTATCCAAGAGATGTTAAAACAGTTTGGAAAGGCCAGAGAATAAAGCATGACTTGCAGAAAACTCAGATAATCACTGTGTTATATGCCAAGGGAAACCAGAGGAGGAAAGAAGTCTTCAGGGGAAAAAAATTGAATGCTGAAATACTGCTAAGAGTTTGACTGCACTTTTGAGGGATTTTTTAAAAAATTACTTGTAAAATGGTGTTTACAGAGAAGAAAAGATTATGTATCAACCCAACGAAAACACAAGAGGTTATGTTCCTGTAAGAAAAAGATGAACACAGTAGAAGACAAAAATTTTACAAGGGATTAACTAGCTTCAAGTGCAATTTCTTTTATAATAAAGTGAGATCCAAGTAATTTCTTTTCTGAGAGATGACAGAGTACACCATCCTGACCACAGATGACTGCAATGCACAGTCTGCAAAGCCAAGCAGTGGTTAAAGAATGTGCTCTTGCCTACTCATGGTAACACCCATTGTGATGGGTTTGATGAACATGGTTGTATTTGTCATTAAGGAAAGACATGGTTGTAATTTCCATTTTCTTCTGTTATGTTGCACTTCCCACTGTAGCCCCAGGAGAGAACTCACTTGATTTCTGGATCATCAGGAATCTCTTGAAAAGAGTACAGGATTAGGTCCCCTAGTCACAGGACCTAGGTTCTTGTCTCAATTCTGCCATTACTTAACTATATTTCTTTGAGCATATCACTTCTCTTGGGGCTCAGTTTTTTCTTCATCTTTGCACTAAGTGGTCCCCACAATCTCTTCCATTCATTCAACAGGAAGGAAGGAAAGGAAGGAAACTGCATTTATTAAGCACTTATTATGTGCCAGGCATTGTACCAAGCACTATACTAACATTACCTCATTTGACCCTCACAACAACTGTGGGAGGTAAGTGCTATCATCACTACTATTTTACAATTGCAGAAACAAGCATGTTGAAATTAGTGACTTGCCCAGAGTCATATAGCTAATAAGTGTCTGATACTGGATTTGAACTCAGGTCTTCCTGACTCTAGGCTCGGCACTCTACCTATTGCACTACATAGCCTCAACAGCCACTCTCTTATTAGTTGTTAGGAAACATAAAGATAAAATGGGGCAGCTAGGTGGCACAGTGGATAGAGTGCCGGACCTAGAGTCAGGAAGACCTGAGTTCAAATCTGGCCTCAGATACTAACTAGCTGTGTGATCCTGGGCAAGTCACTTAGCCCTGTTTGCCTCAGTTCCCTCATCTGTAAAACAAACTGGAAAAGGAAATGGCAAACCATTCCAGTATCTTTCCCAAGAAAACCCCAAATGGGGTTACGAAAAATCATACATGACTGAACAACAACAAAGCTAAAATAAGACAAGGTGTCTGATCTCAGAGAGCCCAAGGTCCAGTGTGTGTGTGGGGGCGTGGGGGGGTGGGGAGGGGATCCTGTGGGAATATGACATGTTCAAATATATAATAGTATATGACTCAACAAAGATATAACTCCTGCAGAACAGAGTGTAAGTGCAAAAGAGAAAGGAAAGTTTTGTGACTTGGAGTATCAGCAAAGGCTTTATGAAGGGAATGCTATTGAATTAGGACTTGGAAGATGGTTAGTATTTCAGAAGGTAGAAATGGGGGCACAAGCAGAGGTATGCAAAAGGGAAGACACCAGCTAGATAACAGGAGACATTAAGTATTCTAATTTAGTTGATGGAGAGGAGTAATGAGGGACAAGGCTAGGAAGACAAGGAGTCTACAGATTGTTAAAGACATCAAACAGAACCATAACAAAGAATTCTGGAGCCTAGGGTAAGCACCACAAAAAAGCCCCGTGGTAGAGGATGCCTTAGTGATGGTGGCTCAAAGAATCGTCCAATGCCCAGTGACAGTGAGGCTGCTGTCAATAGGACAACCCAGGGTGGGGCCAGGCCAGGAAGAGCTCACTTGGGCAAGAGAGCCATCTTGCTCTTCCTATTGTAAGCTTCTTATTGTCACTTTAATTGCCAAACTCAGCTCTTTCTCCCTGCTGGGAAAATACAGGTGCTGTCAGTGCTCACTAAGGGACAAAACCTAGCTCTACTTAATGCTATGATCCTGAATGATGAGCCAGAAAGTTTGGATTGTATTCAGCAGGCAATGAGAAATAGTTTAAGGGTTTCGAGCAGGGTAGTAGCACAACCAGTTCTGTGCTTCGGGACATTGGCAGCAGCCTGTATGAGGAGGAAGAACTGGTAGTTGGAGACCAGGCGGCAGGTTAATGTAGCAATTCAGGTTAGTGGTAAGGATCTGAACCAGGGTGGTGGGAGTGGAAATAAAAAGAAAACAATAGATTAGAGCAATATTTCTGCATTAGAGTTGACAGGGCTTGGCGACCAATTGGAATGTGGGAGGCGATGGAGATGGATGAGCCAAATGTAAAAATGAGGTTTTGAGCATAAGACTAGGAGATTTTATTTTTCAGAAATGGGAAAATCCAAAGGAATTTTTTCAGATGATGAGTATTGTTTTAAGACATATTGACTGTGAAGTAATGCCAGGACATCAAGATAGAAATGTCCAGTAGCCAGTTCGGAAACAGGATTTCTCTGGTCTCCTTCACCACTAAGTTTCTAGAAAGAATAGCCTGCACCTGTTCACCACCCACTTGCTTGTCAATCTATGGCTGCTCTACTGAAACTTGTCTCTCAAAAGTCAGCAATGACTTTTCAGTTGCTAAATTCAAAGGCCTATTCTCAGTCCTCATCCTCTTTCTCCTTTCTGAGAGCATTGCAAACTCTCAACTTCCCTATTTTCCATGATCAAAACCCCAGTCATCATTGACTCTTTCCCATATCCTATACCCACAGTGTTCAAAAGCTGAATGTTTGAGCTGGAGGGCTTCTTAGAGCATCTGGCTCAACTCCCACATTTGACAGGTGAGGAAATGGAGGCCTAAATCACTTCCCAGCTTCTGTTGATTCGGTATCTATAATCTCTCCCACCTTTTCTCTACCCTTTCTATCACCAGTTTATTGTAATGGCCTCCAAAACCAATCTCCCTTCCTCTCATTTCTCTCCTCGACAATTTATCCCTTACATGACAGCCAGACTAGTTCTTCCAATGCACAGGTATGACCCAGTCACTTCCCTACTCAAAAGCTTTCAGTAGTTCCAGTTGCTGATAGAATATAAAATACAGGCTTCTTAGCTTGGAATGTAATGTTCTTCAGACTCTGGCTCTCAACTTTCCTTATTTCATGTACTACATCCCAGCCCAACCAAACCAGAATCCACAGCTAGTGGACTGTTTGTAGAATGTATTCCCTTCTTCCGTTCTTTCAGCACATAGGGCAAGTACTACCCAGCTAACTCCAAGAAGTTTTCACTAGTCATCCCAGCTGAAGTGATCTTTACTTTCCTCAAATTTTCCTAGAGCACTTTGTCTGGATCTCTTCTGTGTTCCTATCTCTTTCTATTTTGTGTCATACTTACTTGTGAACATTTTGCATCTCTCGCTCTACTGTGCCTGCCCCCCAACCACCATTGGAATGTATACTCCGTGAGGGCAGAAACTAGGTCTTTTTTTTAATCTGTAAATATGTACGTAGCACCTAGTATAGTCTCTTGCATAAGGCAAAAATTTACTAAGTGCTTTGCTGAAAATGTTTAATCATTCAAACTATGGGAATGAATAAAATGGCAATGGAGAAGGGCATAAAGAGGCAGGATAAAAAATTGCACAGTGGCAAAAGAACTGGGTTTGGAGTAGGAGGACTTGCTTTCTAATCTCTTGTCTCTGCCTCATCCATGTAACCTTGGGCAAGTTATTTAACCTTTAAGCCTCAGCTTCCTCATGTGTAAACTGAAAGAGCCAGAGTAGGTGACTAAAGGTCTTTTTTCAGCTATAAATCTAGGATCCTATGTAAAGAGAGGCATTGTGGTGTAGTAGAACCAGACCTGGTTTGGGAGTTAAGATCCAGATTCCTACCTATTAGTAACCTTCTTTCTGGTCATTGGTAAGAGAAAAGTTTGTACTAACTAATCTTTAAGGTCCTTTCTAACTCACATCTACGATCGCTTGAATACTCACTTTAACTGGCCAGGAGGAAAGACCAGCAAAGGAAGGGGATGAGCTGTCAGAGGCATATGAGGCAAACCAGGCAAGAACTTCCTGTCTTGAAGACTGAGAAGAGAAAAGTATTAAGGATTGGTGAGGTGGCCATCAGTGTCAATTACTACAGGGGTCAAGGGGCTGGAAGACTGGAAAGAGTCAGTTGGATTTGATGATTGGATTGGGTTGATCTAAGAATGATGGTGCTGGAAAGTTACCTTATAAGGAGTAAATGGATGGTCAAAAAGTAAGGTAGAGGCACTGAGAGTAAATAACCCAAGAAATCTGGTACTTAAAAGGGATTGGATTGATAGTAAAATCAGGAAGATGAGGCAGAGGGAAGGCTTTAAAAAAACTATTTTGGAGGAGCTGAAAATTATTATGAACAAGGAGGGAAAGAATGAAAAGGGTGCGATAGAAGATGCATGATAGAGAAGGAAATGATTTCTGCTTTGAATTCTATAAATCCTTTGGCAGAAATGCAGCTAATCACTTTTTTTAAAAAAGCCCATCTCCTTTAATCTATTTTGTCGTAGCAACAAAGGGTGAATAGACTGGGGATATTTAGCTTGGGGAAGAAAATTGAGGGTGGAGGGGAAGGGGTTTGATAGTAATCTTCTAAGTATATGAAGGGCCACTATGTGGAAAAAGAGATTAAATTTATACTGCTTGGCTTCGGAGAACAGAATTGGGGGTAATGGGTAGATGTTGCAGAGGCAAATTTAGGCTTGAAGTTACTGGAAAAAAAAAAAAAAACAACTTCCCAAGATAAAAGCTATCCATAAGCAGAATGAATTTGTTTTCATTGACCATGTATATTTGTTACGTGTTTATCTATCTATCCATTTGTCTGTCTATCTGTCTGTCTATCTACCTAGGGTGAGAGGAGATAAGATAGGGTTATTAAAAAAAAAAGCGGGGGGGGAAGGTCATTGACACATTTTTTTAAAAATGCACAGGAGAGA